TTTTTCCGTTTGTAACTCATCGAAATAATCATTTCCGACCCTATAAAGTATATATATTCATGATCAGCGTACAATCCTATGAAGATATAGCCATGTCCGTCTGTCCGTCTGTCTGTTGTAATCACTCTAGCGTCTAAACGAATTGAGAGAGATCGCCAAAATCGTCTTTTGTCTGCAGGCAGGTCAAGTTCGAAGATGGACTTTATCAGTCCACGTTTAGGCATAGCTCCCATATAAGGGTACTCCCCAATTTTCGGGAGCGCGTTTTTCAACTGAATTCTCTGAAATTTGGTACATTGAGTGCCTATTGGGTAGCAAATCTCTCCACTAAAAATTATAAATATGGGTCCATATTTTCGTATAGCCCCCATATAAGGGTACCCCTAATTTTGCGATATTTTGGGGGGAGGGGGGGGTGTTTGATCGCATTTTTCGAAAGAATTCGCTGAAATTCGGTACTTTGAGTTATTCTTGGGTAGCAAATCTCTATACTAAAAATTATAAATATAGGTCAATATTTTCGGGTATTCCCCGATATGAGGGTACCCCCAATTTTCGGTATTTTAGGGTTCTTGAGCGCGGCTTTCAACGGAATTCGCTGAAATTTGGTACATTGGGCTCTTATTGGGTACCAAATTTCCCCACTAAAAATTATAAATATAGGTCCACTTTTTCTGGTAGCCCCCATATAAGGGCACCTCCCAATTTCCAGTTTTTGGGGGGACTTGACCGGATTTTTTCACCGAATTGGCTGTAATTAAGTAATTTGAGTTCTTATTGGGTAGCAAATCTCTCCACAAAAATTTATAAATATATTTTGCGGCAGCCCCCATATAAGGGTACCCCCAATTTTCGATATTTTGATGTTCTTGAGCGCGTTTTCAACCGAATTCGCTGAAATTTGGTGTTTTGTAGTCGTATATGGTAACAAATTTCCCCACCAAAAATTATTAATATTCACCCCTTTTTAGGGATAGTCCCCATATAAAAATAAAATAGTTATCTGATTTGTTCCGTGTGTTGCGGTTGGGTATTCGTTGCGGGGAATAGTCAATTTTTACCCTACAAAGACTATTTAGCCATCTGTTGTAAGCATTCCACCTTATAAAGATATTGTGATAAAAAAACTCAAACATGACTATAATGAAATATATCGGCAGACATTTAGACATCTCCTCAATATAGTGATACCTCCTGAATGAAAGAATTGAGATAAACAATTAAAATATTGGGTTCAAAATTGGCATATACCGGTCATTAATTAGGCATAGCCCTCATATATAGATATCCCCAAATATTCACTATTTCCTACACTATGTAATATTGGTCCCCCTTTAGGCATAGCCTCATATAACTTTGTAATCTAAATTACGGTAGTTTGAGGATTTTATACTCTACCATGCGTTATCAGTATCAGTCCACTTTTTGGATCTTACAGATTTTAGGAAACTTGAACTAATTTTGGAAGAAATAATAAAATGGGCAAAGTTTGGATGAAAACAAAAATTTTTTTAAACAAATTTGATTCAAAAAAACGTTTGTAGAAATGTTGGTATAGGTACACTTTTTGGTATATTCCCTATATTTTTTATTTCAAGTACCTGTCAGTATATCTATGGTGGAGGGTATCCAAAGTTCGGCCTGGCCGAACTTAACGCTTTTTCACTTGTTTATGCATTTCAATACTGGCTTATCCCACTTGATTTGGACTTTAGTTGTAACAGTTAAATGTGGTTCTCCCGAAGTAGGGGTGCTTAACCTGTATATACCCCCGATTAATATCTGTGAACCTTATTTGCCTAACGTTAGCTTTGTTCTGGAGGGAATTAACCGTCTGGTACTGGGGGACTTTAATACACATCAGTCCCGTCCAGAGGACAACTGTTATGGCAGAGAAAATTGTTAACTCCACATTTTGCACGATGAATGAAGATGCTTTGACCAGTATATTGGGATAGTGTCACAATTCACAAGAAACAACCAGCTTAATAAATGACATTAATTTGCATCCCTTGGATAAGACCGTGTCCGCATTAGGAGACCGCTTCAGAAAACTTTATAGTCCTTCTAACAGAAACGAAATTCCGAGACATCATTGCATCCGGGATGAGAAATAATTAGTAGAGGCAGATGTAGTAGCAAATGAGCATAAATATGCGATATTTTAATGGTTATAGTAGCAATGGACGCCTTAATGTGTTTTCTGTCCAGAATTTTGCGACCCTTCATAAATATAAGAGTTATTGCTGATAATATGAAAAAAGTCGTTAAAAATTTCCTTTAAAAATGCAATAACAAATTAAAATTGACTTTTACTAACATAGCATGCTGATGATAAAATTGGAAGATACGAGGGCGGTTCAGAAACTTCTTAGTCTATCAATGAAAGAGAATAGTTAGTTTTTCAAAAATATTTTTATTTTTCTATATAAAATACTGACGCTTCAATACACATAGTCCAACGCTTTTCTAATAATTCTATCCCTTGATTAAAATAGTTTTCCTCGAGGTCTTCAAAATAGTGGTTTACAACTGTAATTACATCTTCAATTGAGGTAAAACGCAGCTCTAATCTGAATTTATTGTTTTAGCCTTTTGCAAATAGTCAATCAATAAAAAGAATATCAGCCGATGAATTGTGAATTGTTTTTGCCTTCTTTGGGGCACTTCCTCCAGCTTCTGTTCATTGTTTGGATCGTTCTTTTGCCTCTGGAGTATCCATGTCTCATCAACAGTTATGAAACGACGCTTAAAATCCATTTTATTTCGCTTAAAACGATCCAAACAAGCTTGATAAATATTTATTCGTATGCGATCTTTATCGACTGTTAACAAATGCGGCTTTAATCCTGCAGAAAGCTTTTTCATCTGTAGATCTTCATGCAACACCAGTAAGAAAAGTCGTAAAGTCGGACTGGGCCATATACATGTCTTTCTGCAACCTATGATAAATTTAATTTCATTCGGGCAGATTTAGAGTCGTCTGCGTACCATGGGACAAATTTATGGAAAACGATTTGTAGCAAAATTGATACACGTTATTCGGCACGCCGCACTGTTAAAACTTTAATTTCAAGCAGACACCCGTTCTAAATGCATATGCACCAATTTCAACAAAACCCAATAACGTCATTCAAGTTTCAATTTGATGCGTTGTGCAAAATTTCGTGTTAATAGGACAAACATTAGGAGTTTGGCGCACCATTTACATTAAATCGGACGAAAATATATATGGGAGCTATATCTAAATCTGAACGGGTCTTCACGAAACTTAGTACACATCATTCTTGACTCAATTCACTACGCTATGCCAAATTTCGGGCAAATCGAAAAATATATTCGGACTTTGGTGCACCATTTACATAAAATCGGACTAAACTATATATGCGAGCTATATCTAAATCTGGACCGATTTTCACGAAACTTTGCACACATCATTCTAGACTTAATTCAGTACGATTTGACAAATTTCGTGCAAATTAAAGGATTTCCAGGGACTTTAGTGGACTACTTACCTAAAATCGGGCGAAACTATAAATGGAAGCTATATCTATATCTCAACCGATTCTCACGAAACTTAGCATACATCATTCTAGGCTTAATTCAGTACGCTGTGAAAAATTTCGTGCGAATCGAAATATATTTAGACACTTTGGTGCACCATTTACCTTAAATCGGACGAATATATATATGGAAGCTATATCTAAGTCTGAACCGATTTTTACGAAACTTGACACACGTTCTCCTAGACTTAATTCAATACCCCATGCAAAATTTCGTGCAAATCGTAAGACATATAGGGACTTTGGTATACCATTTACATTAAATCGGACGAAAATATTTATGGAAGCTATATCTAAATCTGAACCGATTTCCACGAAACTTAACACACATCATTCTAGACTTTATTCTGTACGCTATGCCAAATTTCGTGCAAATCGGATGATATATAGGGACTTTGGTACACCATTTACCTTAAATCGGACGAAAATATATATGGGAGCTATATTCAAATCTGAACCTATTTTTACGAAACTTAGCACACGTTCTCCTAGACTTAATTCAGTACCCTATGCCAAATTTCGTGCATATCGAATGATATATAGGGACTTTGGTACACCATTTACCTTGAATCAAAGGAAAATGTATACCGGAGCTATATCCAACCCTGATCCGATTTTCAGGAAACTTGACACACATTAATTCGTTACGCTGTGCCAAATTTCGTGCAAATTGAAGGATAATAGAAACAGTTTACATTAAATCGGACGAAAATATATATGGGAGCTATATCTAAATCTGAACTGATTTTTCCCAATTTCCCAATGGGGTTCGTCCTTGGGCCAAATAAGTGTCCGATGTCAAATTTCATCCAACTCGGATTATAAATGCGACCTGTACTTTGTTTACAATTTAACATGGACAGACAGACGGACGGACGGGCATGCATAAATCGACTCAGAAAGTGATTATATGCATATTCTCAAAAGGAATCCTGTGTCTATCTCGTTTCCTTTTGCCTGTTACAAACATATGCACAAAGCCATAATACCCTGTACCACAGTGTGGTGAAGGGTATACAAATGCGGATATATCTTTTTTTAAACACCTGTTTCTGTATGAAGGAGTTGCCAGCTCGAAACAAAATTTAACATGTGTTCATAACAGAAATGGTAAGTTTCCCACACTTAACTTTTTTCTGTTCATACCGCGATTTTTGTGCTAGGCTAAGAAGTTTCCGAACTATCCTCGTACTATGGTAGAGGGTATAAAAATAATGTAAGTATACTCTGTATACCCAATATATTTTCACCACCCACAACGTTACAAAAATTAACATAGTTATGCTCATATATTATTTTATATAACAATCATTATTTATTGTCAATATGAAACAAATTGTTAAAGCTTATTTAAAAATATATATAAATTGTTATAATATTTGTATGTGTGTGTGTGATTTAAAAATATTACTTATACACAATGGAACAATGCTTTTCTTTAAATTTGCATTTTGGCCATGGGCAAACCCTTAGCGCCCAAACCAGTAACCTTGTAGGTGGTGCCAGCTGGGTCTGGTTCACCGAAACGGGAAGAAGTGGTTACATACAAAATATCCAAATTGGGACCACCGAAAGCAGCAGAGGTGATTTGCTTGCATGGGAATTTAATTTCCAACAAAACGTTGCCGGTCCTGGGGAGAAAGAAAATAAATTACAGATTTGAATATTTATTTCAAATTGGAAATTTCCAGTAACTTACTTAGGGTCAACCTTGTAAATGGTGTGGCCATTAAAGGTGGCAACATAGATATTGCCCTCGGTGTCAATGGTCATGCCATCGGGCAACAAATGATCCTTGGGGCTGTTCTTGCGCAAATTGAAGACAACCTTGGGGTTGGCTAAAAATACATATAGACATATTATTACAATTTAATTTGAATGCTGGTATTTAGTGTTTTAACTTACAGGCCTTGCCAGTAGCGAAGTCATAATCATATTCCTTAACCTCATAATCGGTGGTATCGATGTAATAGAATTTCTTGGTCTTTTCATTCCAGGCCAAACCGTTGGAAATACCAACATCACTCTTGACAACCTCCACTTTGCCACCCTTCTCGTATTTGTACAATTCACCATAACGATGTTCGAATTCATCACCAACATATTTCATGGTACCGGCAAACAAACGACCTTGAGGATCACATTTACCATCATTGAAACGATTATCGTTGAAGCGGTCATCACCCTGCTGCACTTCGAAGAGAGTTTTCTTAACCTTAGCAACGGGAGATACACCATCCCAGGTGACAACAATGACACGGCGTCCAGCACCTACAGCAAATTCATCGGTGGTACCTTCAATGGGAATAATGAAACCGGCCAATGTTTCATTTTCAATTTGGGCCTTGTACACCTTGTTCTCGTTGTAATCGTAACGATAGATTTTGCCAACATGAATATCGACATAGTACAACGATTGTCTTTCAATATCCCAATGGGGACCTTCACCCAATTCGGCGTGAGATTCTGGCAATGGTTCTACTTTGTAAGACATCTGCGAAATAGAAAAATAAATTAAAATTAATTTATAGGTTATTTGTTTGAAATAATTAATTATAATGCTAACGTCTGTACAAGTTGCTAAAACGTGTCTGCTATTGAAATTAAGAAATGAAGCATACTTTTAGGCTTTATGTAAGATATGCAAAAGTACTGTAAACTTTATCACTTTAACAATAACAACAAATTTGGGAATAAAAATACATAAACATCTGATATCGAAGTGCAGTCATCGACAATATGTAGGATATTGCTAAAGGTGCCATCATGGACTCATCACCAATATAAGCTCTACAAAACAGAAACTATAGTGCTTCATACTTTTTAATTATATTTTGATGTCTTTCGGAACTTAACGTCGTTATCACAAGCTGCTGCTTTTGCTACGTTAACATGAAACTCGGGTATAGGTTATCAAAACTTTGCCCTAGGTTATAAATGAATTGATAATAAAATCACAAGTAATTTTAATTAAAAACAACAAACTGATTGTTATGGAGCCAGGTGCATTATTTTTCCTTCCAACTTGTGAAATTATTTGAGTAGAGAATAGTTTGAACGATGTAACACTGATAACCGATATATGAAATAATTTGATTCCTTTTCGCTTTATTGTTGAAAATCGCCTCAGATTTAGATATAGCTCCATCTATAATTTCATCCGATTTCCTTTAATTGCTTCACCAAATACTTAACACTAGAACGCCGAAGGCGGTCATTTTGACTGCTTTCCAATTTCAAGTACAAAAGCAACTGTGCATAATAGGTACCAAATCTCTCCACAAAAAATATGAATATAGGTCCATTTTTTTGGATAGCTCCCATATAAGGATACCCCCAAATTTCGATATTTTGGGGATCTTGAGCGCGTTTTTCAACCGAATTTGCTGCAATTTGGTATTTTGTAGTCGTATATGGTAATAATTCTCCTTACCAAAAATTATTAATATTCGCCCCCTTTTTGGGGTAGTCCCCATATAACCCCCTTTTTTATATTAAAATAGTTATTTGATTTGTTCCGCGTGTTTAGGTTGGTTCTAAGTCTCTGTTGTAATCATTTCACCTACGGAGGATAGCAAGATAAAAAATTAGTACGTATGGTTCGATAATGAACTTTAGCCGCATTTAGACCTAGCCACTGTGAGGAGGTTCCAAAAGGAGTGGACCGATATTCCCCATCTTCGAATTTGAACTAGGTTTGGAAGAAATAATAAGATGGGCAAAGTTTGGATGAAATCTTAATTTTCTGAAACGGATTTGGTCCAAAGAAACATGGGGTCTAGAACCAATATTTCGATTTACCGTGTTAAAGTGTATACACCCTAATTAGCCATAAGGCTGAGGGTATAATTATCCATTAAAAATTTCTAAAATTTGTATTATGGTTTACATAATCGGTTTTTAGAAATGTCGGTATAGGTCCACTTTTTGGTATGTTCCTATATTTTCATTTCTAGTACCTGTCAGTATATCTATGGTGGAGGGTATCCAAAGTGGGTCAATATTAATAATTTTTGCTATGGATATGAGTTATTAAATGAGAACCAAAAATACCAAATTACAGCCAATTCGGTGGAAAAATGGAACCATAATTCCAAAATCACGGAATATTGGAGATAACGTTATATGGGGGCTACACCAAAACGTGGACCGATATATCCCAATTGCAATGCCAAACATCCTAGGAGTACTAGCAATGCCTGTACAAAATTTCAGAGCTCTATCTTAAATATTGCTATCGGACGGACATGCGTAAATCGACATAGAACATTATTCTGATCAACCGGTGTCTCCGGTGAATATTTTGAGGTTATGGTGGAGGGTAACATTACAGCCAATTTTGCTGGAAAACGTATCCTGACACCCAAAGATATTGCTATTTAGGAGGTACTGTAATATGGAGGCTACTTTTTTATTGTGTTTGTCAATCGGGTATTGACACATATCTATATTCACTGGCCAATTTATATGTCAGGATTATATTTAACCCTTGGAATTTGTTCTAAGATAGCGGAAAAAAATTCGGGGCCCACACTACTTTACAGTTATAAAAACTTATATAAACTATTACTTTAAACAATTAAATGACTTAAATTGTTGCTCTCCATTTTAGTACATTCCAGTTCAAAGTTAATTTAATTCGGAATGTGTTGGTAATGACATTTAAACAAAATTATCGATAAGTACCACACACGATTCTAATTATATGCGGAATGTTACATATTTCTTTCTGTGTCCATGTAAAGGTAAATAACTAGAATTGTAATTCATATGCACATTTAATTTCTTCAATTCAAAACGAACACCTGTCTATGTTTTATTTTTTATGGCTCCCCACAGCAAACATTCACCCAGTGACTTCGTTTTAAAGCATCAAACAAATATAGAATTTCAATTGATATTTTAAAACAGGATTTTTGAATAAATTTAAATTTACGTCATAATATTTCCGTATACGTTTACTTGAGATCAGTTTCCGTTATGTGAATCATCTTGCTTTAATTCAAAATAGAGACAATTGAAAGTTACAATTTGATACAATTTAAAACCGGTAAGGAAAGTAGTAAAGTCGGACGCGGCCGACTATATGATACTCTTCACCACTTTGGGTATATTCAACAGATGGAATCCTAACAGATGTCGCATTTTTGAAGGACCATTAACATTAAATTAAACATTTCATTCCGCAACATATACTCAATTTTGGTCAGATATGGAGTTGCTCCTTACAATGGGACAAAATTATGTAAATAAATTTTATGCTAAATATCGAAATCTAAACCGATTTCATCGAAATTTGTCACATGCTAGGGTACACCTATTTAAGTAGGTTTTTTGCATTCGGTCACATTTTGAACTCTTCATTTACTTATAAATCCAAATTCGTGCAAATCGAAGGATATATAGGGACTTTGGTGCACTATTTACCTAAATCGGACGAAAATATATATGGGAGCTATATCTAAATCTGAACCGATTTTCACGAAATTTAACACACATCGTTTTAGGCTTAATTCAGAATGTTATGCCAAATTTCATTAACTTCGTGCAAAACGAAAGATATATAGGGATTTTGGTGCCCTATTTAAATAAAATCCGTGGAAAATATATATGGGAGCTATATCTAAATCTGAACCGTTTTTCACGAAACATGACACACATCACACCAGACTTAATTTAGTACGCTATGCCAAATTACGTGCAAATCGAAGGATATATAGGGACTTTGGTCCACTATATACCTAAAATCGGACCAAAATATATATGGGAGCTATATCTAAATCTGAACAGATTTTCACGAAATTTTACACACATCGTTCTAGAATTAATTCAGTACGCTGTGCTAAATTTCGTGCAAATCGAAGAATATATAGGGACTTTGATGCACTATTTACCTAAAATCGGACGAAAATATATATGGGAGTAATATCTAAATCTGAACCTATTTTCAGGAAATTTAACACACGTCGTTCTAGGCTTAATTCAGAATGCAATGCCAAATTTCGTGCAAATCGAAGGATATATAGGGTCTTTGGTGCACTATTTACTTAAAATCGGACGAAAATATATATGGATTTATATCTAAATCTGAACCGATTTTTCCCAATTTCAATAGGGTTCGTCCTTGGGCCAAATTTCGTATGCAGTTCAAGAGTTAAAAACCCATGTTTTCAAGTAGTTGGAAAAAGGCTTCGACATTCGAGTTAAACCAGGTTAAATGCTAGATTGTGCAAAGTTTGGTTCAAATCCCATACACCGTACGCATGATACAATTTCGTGAGACTCGATTTTCGACTTATCGATTTTTTGTATTGGACAGTCGAAGCAAAGACATAGAAACCGTAAAGACTCGACAAAATGCATTTTGACAAAATAGTTTATGAAAAAATATCCAGGGGGAATCAGGCATAACAGAGGCATGTTAACAATAAAAACGCAAATACGCGATAATTTGTGTATAAAATGTAAATAAAATCGGAGATCTGCACTCAAAAAATATTTTTTTATTTAATAAGCTTAAGATATAGCATTAACAACGTTTAATATTGTTCTCTCTGTTATTATGATATCGTAACAACAGAGAGAACAACAGAGGAAAAGCCATCTATTGGAAATTGTGGACGTATCGATTGTCCTATCTTTATACTTTTATGTCTTTGCTCGAAGTCAGCTTTTGATTTTTGAGGAAATCGCAAAGTCGACTTTAAATTTTTTCATAAATACTTGGGTTATTTTCAGAAGCCCCAAATTGCCCGGTTTATAACAATTTATATAAAAATCTTTTAGCCGATTTTGCATTAGTCAATAAAAGTCGAAAATCGATTTTGAACAGGTTCGACTAATTCGAAAAGTCGACTTTTCAGTCAAAGACAAAAATCGAAAAGTCTAAAAATCGACTTTTTAGTCAGAGGCAAAAATCGAAAAGTCTATTACGATGTGCAAAGCTTGTATGAAATTGATTGCCTCCTTCGACAGCTCGTATGCACCAGTTAGCCACACGATCAGTCGATGATCGACTCTTAATTGTCTAAAACAAATTTGGTCCAAAGAAATTTGAAATCAATATTTCGATGAGGCTTATTTTTGCCGTAGCACGGTATATAAACAATTTTGCCATAAGGCGGAGGGTATAAAATATAAATAGAGTTCCTCTTGTTCGGACACTTTTTTACAAGGAGAAAACGCTCACTAATAGCCCATCTCCGAAGTCTGACTTATCAGCAAACAAAAGAAGCGTTTGTGCAAAATTGTAGGGCTAAATCGTTCCCAACTATTTTAATATATTTGAACGAACATTAAATTTCGCGAAACTATTTCTTACACTTCAAAATTTTTTTCTAACAACTATTATTGGTTTCCCAAAGTAGGCCTGTCTTATAGCGGGTTTAAAATAATATAAAATATTATCTTGCAATTTCCTTATAAACACAACTTTTTTTATAAACTTAATTATAATCACAGACGAAAATCTCATATATGGCTTTGGCATTTTGAATATGTTGAGAAATTGTTGTTGCTATTTCTTGTAGTTGTTGTTTTTGTTGTCATCATTTCTTGTGCAATGGGCTTTTAACAAGTTTTATATTTCCATATGCGGGAATATAGCACTGTGTGTCATTGAAAATATTGACAGAGACGCGCCCATGCAGAAATATGAAATATGTATGAAGAAATTTTTAATATTAAGAAATTTTTCAGACAAAATTAAAATTATTTTTTTTATAATATAGTATTTTTAAAATTTGCACTAATAATTTGCCATTGTTATTAATTATTTACCGAAAAATTGTCTGAATTAACATGTACTTCCAGGGACACAACAACTTTTTCCACCTCCAATTCTTCACCATTCATCAATTCATCATTTTCGGCCGCAACTTGATAGCTGAACACCATTAAACAGCAGACAACGGCAAAGGCCAAGATTGATTTACCATTTGGAAGCCTTAACATTTTTGGTTTGGTTTTTCTTTTAGACTTATTTTTTGTATATATTTGGTATGACAACTTCACACAATATCAAAATCAAGGTTTAAATTCAGAAAACGAATTACAATTAAACAATAGACAATTGAATGCAACAAAAAAACTATTTTAGATTTCTGAACAATTAGACAATCCAAAACTGAAATAAAAAATCTCGTAAAAAATTCACTTAATCCACTTCTTTGGTTTGATCTTAAAACCCGCTTCGATTAAACACGACTGTGTCTCTTTGCTAAAACCCGTTCGAGATGAAATCCAACTTGTTCGCAAAGTCCAAAACTAGCAACTAACTTTTAATATCAGCTGGTTTGGAGCTTTATTTGTTTAGTGATCAACATCACCAGCCAGGTAGAAGCTTTTATAAAAAAAGTGTTGCATTGCCATTCTCTTTGGCTCTGTAATCGTAAGACAAGATGCTAATAAAAATGTGAACTCTTTTTAAGAGATTTTATAAATCAATAAACGAGGTGTATCAATCAATTTGAGAACAAATGTGGGCAAAATTTCTCTTAAAAATTTGTTAAGGGAAAATAAAAACAAGGATTATTAAGCGGAATTTATTAAATTTAATATTTTTAAAACATAAATAACATCCAGGGATGTTCAAAAAATAAATTCATTAAAAAAATGGAAAATGTTTCATTAAGGTTTATTTTTGTTTTAACATCAAAAAAATGTTAAGAGAACGCATCAACGCTGGTGTGCAAGTCTGCCCAACTATGTTTGAGATGGAATTTTAATAAGAGAGGAGCTAGTTTCCGATTCTATATCAGTTGCAACGGAAATTACATTATTATGATAACCAATAAATATAGGGAAAAGGGGGCACTTTGCAACGTAGGGCACCTTTGAACAGCGCTCATAAAATCTCGGTTGAAAATATTTCCGACCTGCAACCAATTTGTTTATATGGGAATTTTGTTCTCTAGCAGCGTGAAAAACTTTGGCTAGGCTTTTCAGTTGTCAACAAAATCATGTATAAAAAGTTTTGATCTGAATTTGTATACCATAGACAATGTTGTATGTTGTCAGGGTATTATAGCTTTGTGCAGCCCAAGAGTTTGTAACGCCGCGAAATATTGGTCCTAGACCCACCTTTAAGTATACCGATCGTATATCCATTATAATTTGTAAACACGATACAGGCCACAGTTATGGACCAATCGTCACGAAATTTTGCATGTAGGATGGGTTCTGGCCAATGAAGAAGGTTAATATTTTGGGTATAAAATGGACCAAAACTCAATTTTTTTAGATTTTGCTCGAAATTTTACGTGTAGTTGAGGATCGGGCCAAAGAATAAGCATGCCTGTTTTGACAAAGATCAGTCAATATTTAGCTTGAAAAATTTTGTGTGAAAAATTACAAAATTTGTATGCTATGCCGCATATATTTAATTCTGAAGGGCATGGGCCCGAGAAGTTGATCGTATATATTTAATTCTGAAAGACATGGGCCCGAGAAATTGGTAGTATATCCAAGAGGAGTGGTTGATCTTTAAATTGATACCAATTACATTGTCGTATGTACTCGGATGTGGGAGTTACACTTAAATATTTACAGGAGTTTACGTATTCAGATATTATTTAGTAGCCCATTATCACACTAGAGGGCGGAAACATAGCGCTAATCGCATTGAAACTTTCCATGAGGTTTGGTCAAGGACAACGCCTGTAATTTTCGGTGATGATCAGATAATAATCTTGGGATGAAGTAGATTGAAAATCTATAGGTCACAATTATAAGCCGAACACCACAACACCACCCACGGCGAAGGGAATCTGAACAAGTATAGACGGGCTGTACTGAATATTAGTAATATTCGAAAAATATGTCAGTGTAAGGAAGAAGTGCTGTTGATCTCTAGTCAAGCAAGAGGGTGCAAATATCACGACATATTGCCCAGGATTAACAGAAAGTTAGAGTTCCGTGGCAGTTGTGTAGGGTATCGTATGGTCGGTCGGTCGTCCGACTATACTGCTCCGCTATGCATTTGTGATATGCATAATCACTGTAAAAAACAATGCCGTTCAAAAATTCAAATTACAGTACCTTCTGCTGGAAAATGTGGTTCTCAAAGTCCTGGGACTAGTCTGTTATATAAGGACCTGTATTAAAACATTTTTGCAAATTCTTTAACCCTCCAATAATACGAAAAGCCAAATTACAGCCGATACAGAACCTGGAATGCCTAATTAAAACACCAACGTTTGATAAAGTCGCCTAGAACCAACAAAGTACCTAAAATATGGTGGGACCATTATATAGACGCAATATCAAAACCTGCAGTTATATCTAAATTGTTCTGCAACAATTTGTTTTACACTTCAAATTACACCCACTTCGATAACCGTAAATGCGACATTATAGCTTCAACGGGTGGAAGATGCAGCTGGAAATTAAGTAAGAAATTTTTTTCCAAAACTATTTTCAAATATATGTAAAAAGGGACTTACATACCCCACCAGATCCGAAGCCCCCATAAATTCTAATAATCAACCAATTCTAATAATCACCAACTACAGATGAAAATTACAACCCTAAATAAGCCACTGAACAAAACTCAAGGTGTTTTTTTCTTCTAGGCAACTATAGTTGGCTAACCCTTCACCTAGGGTAGTCTAAAACAGACCAATAATTCACTTAGTCGAAATAAAAAAAATTATTACCAAAACTAAAACAACAAGTTTTTAACCCTCCAATAATACGAAAAGCTAAATTACAGCCGATACAGTTGACTCAAGAACCTGGAATGCCTAATTAATGCTCCAAATTTTGAAAGAGGCAGTTAGAACAATCAAAACACCTAAAATATGGTGGGACCATTATATGCACGTAAAATCGAAACCTGCAGTTATATCTAAATTGTTCTGCAACAATTTGTTTAAGCCTTCATGAATCCGGAATCCCAAATTACAGCCACTTCGGTAGGAAAATATGTATGCGAATATGTATTTTACCCTCAATAAACGTTAATGCGAAATTATAGCTTCAACGGGTGGAAGATGCGGCTGGAAACGAAGTAGCAAAAATTCTTCTAAAATGATTTTCAAATATTTGTAAAAAGGGACTTACAAACCCCACCAGATTATGCATCCGAAGCCCCCATGAATTCTAATAATCAACCTGGACATCAACACCAACTAGCAATGACAGGAAATGGCGCCATCCAGGTGGCTTTTTCTTCTAGGCAACTATAGTTGGCTGACCCTTCACCTAGGACAGTATACAGCAGACCAATCATTCACTTAACCGAAGTAAAAAAATTATTACCAAAACTAAAACAAGGACTGTAATTAGTCGATGTCATTTGTAGGACTCATTAGTGATCTTTCAGTACGCTTTGTCAATCGGCCTAGCTATGGGTCTTTAGTACACCATTTACTTAAAATCGGGCGAAAGTACATATAGGAACTATATGTAAATCTGAACCAATTTCAAGAAAACTTGACACACGAAAGGTTATAGTAACTTCAGTACTTTGTCCACAATTGTGTGCGGGTCGGCCAATCTTTGGTTCTTTAGTGCACATTAAATCGGACGAAAATATATATTGGAGCAATATCTAAATCTGAACCGATTTTCACGAAACTTAGCACACTACATTCTGGACCCAATTCAGTACCCTATTCCAAATTTCGCACAAATCGAAAGATATGTAGGGAATTTGGAGACCCATTTACCTAACATAGGACGAAAATATATATTGGAGCTTTATATAAATCTGACCCGATTTTCTCGAAACTTGGCACACGTCATTCTTGACCTAAATCAGTACTTTATGCCAAATTTCGTGCAAATCGAAAGATATATAGGGGCTTTGGTGCCCCTATTTACCTTAAATCGGACGAAAATATATATGGGAACTATATTCAAATCTGAACCGATTTTCACTAAACTTAGCACACATCATTCTGGACCCAATTCAGTACTCTGTGCCAAATTTCATGCAAATCGAAAGATATACAGGGACTTTGGTGCCTCATTTCCCTTAAACTTGGCACACATCATTCTGCACCTAATTCAGTACTCTATGCCAAATTTCATGCAAATCGAATGATTTATGGGCACTTTGGTGAATCATTTACCTTAAATCGGACAAAGCTATATATGGGAGCTATATCTAAATTTGAACCGATTTTCTAGAAACTTGGCACACATCATTCGTGACCTTATTCATTACGCTGTGCCAAATTTCGTGCCAATCGAAAGATATATAGGAACTTTGCTGCACCATTTTCCTTAAATCAGACGAAAATATATATGGGAGCTATATCTAAATTTGAACCGATTTTTCCCAATTTCAATAGGGTTCGTCCTTAAGCCAAACAAATGAGCTGTGCCAAATTTCATCCAATTCGGATCATAAATGCGACCTGTACTTTGTTTACAATTTAACATGGACAGACAGACGGACAGACGGACGGACATGCATAAATCGACTTAGAAAGTGATTCTATGCATATTCTCAAATGGAACCATGGCTCTATCTCGATTATTTTTGCCTGTTACAAACATATGCACAAAGACATAATACCCTGTACCACAGTGTGGTGAAGGGTATAAAAAACTGGAAAATGAGAATCCTTTAAAATTATTCCTATAGAAAATAATTTTCGAAGATATTGAAGTACAAAAAACTACTCTTTGATATTTCAAAAATAATATATTTTTATATTTTTCGTAGACTAGCACTGTTTATTCTATAATCATTTTTTTAATAAACCTGTGGCTGATATTTTGCAAAAAAAACCCACTGTACGACAGAAATTTACTAAACTCGAATAATTTTGCTTCCACTCGTTGTTAAAAAATTAGTACTGATTTTGAAAAAATTAAATTCCAATGACAAGGAACAGAA